CGCGACCTCTCGCCAAAAGCGACAATCATGCCACTGGACCAACAGGCCAGGTAAAAAAATTATTACTATTGTTTTGACACGTAGCAGGTAGCAGGTGTGTAGTCAAACGATCGCTCCTTACCGGTCGTCCACGTTACTAACTAACTAACTAACTAACTAAAGATCTTTATATACAAGACTAGGTAACTACACAAATTCGAAAAGACATCTATTGAAAAAGCAACGTTTAGAGCGTTCGGTTCTGACTGGAGGCAGGATGTAATTATGTCCTCTTTTCCTTAGGCTCCTAGCTCTCTGAGCTGGTAAAAGTTCGTGTAATGGATTTGCGCTGTCAGAGGTTATCTCGTCCCATCCATTATGGGAGTGTATTTGCTAGTGTAGCCATAACGTAAAGCTCTCTTACAAAACTTGTCAATATGAGAGAGATATTTACTGTAGTGGGCAGAAGCCCACACCTCAATTGCGTAAGTGAAAAGTGACATAATTAGACTGTCAAACAGCAGTGTAAGTTCTTGTAGTGAGAAGCCGTAGTATTTGCAGACTCTGAGGATGTACAGTCTAGAACTTGCTTTGCTAAGCATGTTTTCAAATTGAACGTCCCAGTTACATGGATCTTCGTTTACAGTAACTCCTAGCAGCTTTAGTTCGCTCTTTCTAGTTATTCCGTCCACAAAATAGTAGCACTTTCCCTGTTGTCGTCTGATATTATGTACAATCTATTCCAATTGCCTTTTCGTTGGGATAGAGGCGTTCCATTCCGATAGAGCTCTTTTACACGAAGGGTCTGTACTTAATCTGAATAAAATCTCTATCCGAGAAATTTATAACCTTTTCTTTCCAGACCAAGAGCAAGTTCTAATTGTGCAGATTCTACCGCTAGCCAAAAGATTAGGTGGCTACAGTCGTGTACGGTCTTAAGCGTGCAGAGCCGACTCAGTTGTATTTTTAAATCAAACATGTCACCCAGGGCAACACATAATAATTTATTAATTAATTAATAATAATTTTAAGTTTTAACTCACTGTGGACAACAATTTACAGGAAACCGATCCATAATGACAAATGACTTGGCTAGACATCCTTCAGCCCGACATCATTCAAGGCCGGCCATTAGGACTCTATTACACGAAGGACAGCCTATCCAGCGAAAAAAAATACGTTAACCCTCTCTTTTGTATAAGAAAAAACTACAACAATAACGAATACACTCGACAAAACAGACAAAGACCTACTAGGTCCGTTGTTGCTGCCTGTGTTTGATCGTACTCACCACCTCGTTATCCGCACCACGCTTTGCCGACTGAAGAATTATTTTTTATCATATTATGTCTCTCATATTTACTCAATAAAATTGATCTGTCTAGATAATTCTGAATTATTGATTCTAAACAAGGGGGCCGGATACTCTTTATTCCTGAAAGGTAAGAAGTTAGACATCGGGGAATTAGCTCAAATGGTAGAGCGCCCGCTTAGCATGCGGGAGGTACCGGGATCGATACCCGGATTCTCCAATTCTGATTCTTTAGAAAAAGCTTGCCTTTTTGTAAACTTCAACGGCTGGTTATTTAAACAAAGTTTAGCCACCCTTTAACAAAACCGCGTTCTAAGCCATCTTCACCTCAGACAAACTTTTTATCTGAACATTTATTTTTGTGTCAAAAGGGTCGAAAGCTGATAGTGGAGGGACATTTATTCAATTAAATCAACCCTCTTAAAGAGCATCCGAGGGCTACTGACTGCGTAAAACCGCGGTTTGGTTTAGATGTCGTGTAAATAACCACCCCAAATATCCAAGGAAAGGATGACCAAGCGGATACCGAGGTTTACGCTCCTTTTATAACTCACGTGTATCGTTATTAATTAACTTGCTCAAGAATTGATGAGGAGGATAAAGGCGATTTTGAAATTGTGTCTAAGAAATTGTTGTTCTTCTCGAACTCAGACTACCAATTAAATTTTCACCAACAATTGTCTTAAGGCACTTTCAGTTAAGTCACTTTTGTACGGCGACGGTAAAACCTGTATGAATATTCGATTCTCTGAAAATATGTTAAGACAAAATCAGAACTTTGGCTAATGTTCTTTAAAAATTTATAAAATTGGTATATGTGCGCACCAAGAAACAACTTAAAACATTTTTATAGGTATTCACCGTCGCTAACCCTAAGCAACAAACGAAAAAAAGGTAACTGGATAAGAAGACATCTTTGGAGTCTTTCCTACACCTTTAAGTAAGTCGATAGAGAAACAAAAGCTTGTATGTAATCATGGGCTCTAAGGGCCATAGACCCGGGACCTCTCGCATCCGAAGCGAGAATCATGCCACTAGACCAACAGGCCAGTCACAATAATAAAATGGTGACGTGAGTCACGCAGGAAATGTATAATAAGTTTGACGTGTCTGAAAAGAAAAGGGCACAATGAATGTCCTGGAAATGCTTCAAATTCAGTTTTCATGAGTGACAAAAAAACATGTTAACTAGATGAAATGTGTGAATGAATACTGAATCTCTGAGAATGTATACCATAGCTCTGAAGATCGAGAATTTCAGGTAAACGGGGAAGCTTTGATATTGCAAGAGCCACGGTTGCATTCAGTCGCTTACCCTAGCCCATCTTATTACGACCTCTTTCCTTTCCTGTACGACCTGCTCACAAGGAGACAAGAATGTTTGAAAACATAATTATTTGAGTTTACAAGCATTGAAATTGGCACAGATATTAAGCAAGTTGTATGTGATAGCGATCGTGATAGTAACAAAGATCACTTGTGTCTCTGGAAGGGCCTGCGACCTTCCGCGTGTGAGGCGGACGTGATAACCATACACTACAGGAACCTTAACTACAAAAAGTTATCAAGCAAGTTGTATGTGATAGCGATCGTGATAGTGACAAAAGATCACTTGTGTCTCTTGCAGGGCCTGCGACCTTCCGCCACACTACAGAGACTTTAACTACAAAGTTATTTATCATATCAAGCTGAAATAAATAGATAAAGTAATAGAAAAAATAAAAAATACTACATGATTATCTACACAGAAATAAAACTATAATATTTTCAAGTAGTTTTAAGTAGTTTTACTAGATTAATTTTAGGTGCTGTTGAAAACAGTTTCCGTTGGAGCTCCACTCGAGGTTTAAACCAAACTCTCGATGAAGGATCATCGATATAAACAAGCCTTGGAAGCCTTTGAGAATCAGAGTTAAACAACATATTTAATATTCTTCTCCAATAGGCGCTGAAAAATCACTGTTGGACAGCGGTGGTTTTCGTGTTGTGGTGCTTGGGACGTACCCTAACCCTAAACTTTGAGCCTTACCAAAAGATCAAAGCGTATCAACGTAATTGTTCTTTTTGCTCCAA